TGGCTAAGGCAATTATGCCGTTGATAACTCGAAAGAGTTGATGGCTATTTACATCGGGTTAAGCTTATAGTAGTGAAGGATTTGGCGGAAGAGGATGTCAAGGGGAAACCTGAGCCCGCACTCAATAAAGGCTACTACTGGAAAGGGCATGAAATTGTCTTTGGGCATGATTGAGTCCTCATCCCCAGCCAACCTAAGGTGGACGTCGACGGGATGGAGAACTCCTGCCTAAAGTGTTCAAGCTTCTCTGGGGTGTCTACCCTCCACCTAAACATTCCCATAATGTTGGTTAAGTGGGGAGGGAGTTGGATTTTAGAAAGAAGTGGTTTGTTAAGGTTTAGAGGACCTCGGCAAAACCTAAACGAATGCTGGGGCAAGAGTTTTGAGGATCTAAAAGGAATTTGTTTCAATTTTTTCTAAAGTTTGTAAGTTCTAGAAACAAGTCACAAACCTAAGACTACATAAATAAGGATTGAAGTCAAGAATCTGGAAAAAGACACAGAAAACAAAGACAAGCATGATTCAGACTCAGGAAGACAAACAAGAAATCAAAGAACACTAAATAAATTTGTGCAGGTGTGCAAGGCTAAGAATAGTAGCAAAGTGGTGCGAGTGTGTGTGCAATTTGTACATAAAGGTCAAGAATCAAGAACTAATTAGACAAGCACAAAAAATTACAAGACAGGACTTGCTCAAAACACGCGCATGATAAAGTTTGAAGCACAGATAAAGATTGAAGAGCATGAAGACATTCACCATGGCAATAGACAAAAACAACGGAGTTTTAAACTAAAAAGGGGGGGAAATAGTAACTCATCGAAGAAAATGAAGCCAATGTGAGGTACACCGAGGTCAGACGGTGGCAGTAAACGGAGAGGAGCAGCAAGAGCTTCACTGGAGGAGGTGAACGGAATGGTTGCAAAGCTTGAGAGCTTGAAGCAATGGAGGATTTTAGAGAGAAAGTTTGAACGAAAACGAAGATGCAAAAGTGAAACGGCGAATAGAGAGAGGGAAGTGATTTTGTCAAAACACGAAAAAGGTGGCAAAACGCAATTAGTGTGCCTAGGATGATGTGTCTGTCAGGCGGTGCACGTAAATGTGACGCGACTTAATGGCGCGTGTCAAGTACGGTTCAATAGGGAAAGGACGTGTGGCAAAAACGGTTGAAATACCGTGCGTGATAGCTCATACGGGTGTGAAAACTCTTGGAGTTCTTGATTTAATGAAGCAACGATCTTGGCTAGGAGGACGATCTCGGCTAAATAAACTTGAACAAACTTGGTTCTTGGTTCTAAAACATTGATGCGAACACACGAAAGTGTTTATCATATGTAAGCCGCTGTGTGATAACCTCGGTAATGAATGATAGAGCAAGTTTAGCCGACGTGCTATAGGTTCAAATGATATAGGTTCCATCACCTTAGGATGCCGAGGTAATAGAACCTAGGGGGCAGTTGTGTGGACATATTTTTTGGATAGCAACACGTGGCCAAGGTGGCACCGAAATGCCAGCCGAGGTGCCACGTGTCCTTAACTTGACGCCGAGGTAATCTCGGCTAGGCCGAGGTTATCTACGGAGATACCGGAATCCGAGATGAGCGGATAAATTACAAGAGTTCTAGAATGAGGGAGGACTTCAGCCTGGGTAAAGATAAAGCTCTTAGGGAGTTTATCTTTATCTATTTGAGAGTCCTAGATAGGCATTAAGCCAGAATCCATTGAAGCTAGGCTTCTATAGGGATCAAGTCAATGTTGGTTATAAAAGTAAGGCACCATCGTGGGTCTAAGGTACGCTTTTTGTATTCTGAATAGTGAGTTAAGCACTTTTGCTATCTTGGAGAGATAACTGACTTTATCGTCGAAGTGCTCCCGGGCGGATGAACCACTGCCGGAGTCTTTTTCTTTCTGTGACACGTCGTTTGGACGCAATCTATTCTGCCAGTGTTTTCCAACTGAGTACCTGTTTGGCAGTGTGGTCAGAAAACAGCACACACACCTCTTATTTGTCTACATTACAGGCACCTCATACATGTCTGAACCATTGATGGCTAAAGTAAGGAATGACATGATTACCCAAGAAGGCAAAACAAATTTTTCTCTCCAACACTTGATATTTTCATCTATTTGCCTATCATCTTTGTCACTTTTTATACACTCCATCGATCCAATCCTCGATGTATATCTGCTCAAATCTTTTGTTTGTCAACATTTTTTGCGCTTGAAATGTGCCAAAATCCCCACAATGGTTTCGACAAGACCTAAGGAACTTTATTATATTTTTGGCATCTCAAATTATTGTATCAACTATGTGTGTTTCCTATCTCTATAGTTTATTTTGATAATGTCAAAGGGGGAGAAAAAAAAATGATTTTGAATTGCTGTGCATACATATGATTTTGAATTGTTGTGCATGTATATGCTTTAAATATCATATGTTGCAAAATTATGAAATAACTTGTTGATTTCTATTTTGTGTCAAATCTATACAAATATTGCCATCATAAAAAAGGGGAAGATTGTTAATCATTTTGTTTAATTTTGATGATGTCTAAAAGGTTATTTGAAAATTTTAAATTTTTTTTATACATACTCTATATTATTTGACACAAAATATTATCTGTTTAAAATATAGGTTGTATGACATATTTGTTAAAAATATTATTTAAATGGAAATATTTTGAAAATATCACTATTTACTTTTTGACAAATTTAAAATTGATTAGTTGTATTATTTTGACAAAATTGATTGATTGGTTGGCTAGTCACTATTCACTTTTTGACAATTAAAATTGATTAATTTTTTTTTTTTTTTTACAAATGTGATATTAATGAATTATTCCTTTTTTATATACTCACATGGGATGATTGGTTATTTTTATTTTATTTAAGTGTATTTATAATCTCTTCAACAATTACAAAACTTTTAAGAGAGGTATGTATATATATATTATTTGATATGTATATATATATATGAGTGTGAATTGAATTTTGCACTCAAAATTATGATTACTTGCTTGCAAAAGTGGACAAAAAAAAGGTAAGTGGTTGACCCTATAGTAATTATTCAATTTAAAATAAATTCCTGTGGATATTGATTCAAGATAGTTTGTGTACTTGCATAATTAATTCTTCTTAACAAACTAATTTATCAGGAAAAAAATCAATTATCAGCCAATTATCCCCTGTTTTAAAATTTTAAAATATAATAAAAATGTAATTTGCTTCTAGTTCTCTCCCCTTTTTTTTGTTTTTTTTCCTTAAAAAAATAAATTTGATTTGTCTATATTATCTAATTCTTTTTTTTTTTCTAAATTGCAATGAATAAATTTTAAAAAAAAATTAGGTTCAAAGGAAGACACTGTAATAGTTAGTGCACCACCAGACTGCATAATTAGAGATCAAACTGGAAATATTTATTATTTTATCTCTCTCACTATCATTTTATATATTAACCACACCAGATTTTTGTAAGGGTGGGGCATTTATTATTGAGTGAGACTCAATAGATAAGAGTAAGTCTTGTGCAAAATCCACAAGCTTGGTGAAGACTTTGTGGTGTATTAATTTAGTTTGATAGTAAAGAAATTCTCAAGGAGGTTCCTTAAGGAGTGGACGTAGGCCTAGCAAACCGAACCACTATAAATCTCAGTATTTGATTTTCTCTCCATATCTCTCTTATTTTTCATATTGATAATTATTATTCTGTTTTCTATTTGTTAAATTTCTAAATATTGTGTTTATAAATTTTAATATTGTATATTTTTTTTAAAAGCTAATTCACCCTCCCTCTTGAGTTGCCTACCTGGGATAACACGGGTGAGTCCAACACGTAACCCGAACAAACCAGAACCGGCCCGTGACCACCCCCAATTCTGATGGTTGTGTTACCCAATCTATAAATTAGGAATAACAAAGTGTAAACAACCAATAGGTCCTAATAGTTAGACTTAATTCCCATCAAATCCTATTGAAAATAGATTATGATAAAATTGAAGCTAAAAATAATTTTTTTGTGACAATTTTTTATATATATCGCTAAAAATTGACAATTAGCAACTTTTTTTGTCATGATTTTTATAAATTGTCGCTAAAACTTAGAATTAGTGACTTTTTTTATGACATTTTTTTTTCATATGACCTATTAGACAATAAGTTCACTTGTTAGGACTTACACGTAAGAACCCCAAAAGCAAACTCCTTTTCTTGTACAATGATAATATTAATTAAGAAAAATAATATATAAATCATTTTTTTTAATTCGGTGATAATATTATTTCCCTTTTAGGTCTTACACAAGACGAGAAATAAATCATAAGGCTTAAATTAAATCAAATAAGTTAAGTGAAAATTAATAAAGAATCAGGAGCCAAGCCCACTACTGGATTATTTGTTTTTCCTCCCCATCAAACAAGGCAAATATCAAGCACTTAACCATATATGGGGCTCATAATAATATTTAGACAGAATATTTTACAAAGAACTAAACAAATAAACAATACGACAAGCATGAACAGAGCAACATTTTACCTGAACGTGGAGGGAGACAACAACCTACTAAAGCCTCATTTGGGAATATGTTATTTTAGTAATTTTTTGACTTTTTACGAAAAAATATGTAAAAAAATAGAGAAAGTGATGTAACAATTTATAATGATTTTTTGACTAAAACGGAAGGTTATCAAACGAGGCCTAAGACTAACGTGTCTACAACAACATCCCTGAGCGACAGTCAAACGGCTTTGCAAAAAACACAATACTCCTAATCAGTAATGTGGCCACACCCAAAAAATCAAATTCACATAGTTTACCGTAGTAGAATCGCACAACAAAGGAAGTTGCAACATTTCTACAATACGTTGAATTTGAATATTACCAAAATTATAGAGAAAAGAAGAGAATTCTCTACATATTATATCAAAAGTCAATTGCCTTAAGGCTTACATCATTATTTACACTAATACGAAGTTCTAATTAAATTGAAAAGCAAATCAAAAAAGACAATACTTAATCAAGACTAAATCAAAGACGGTACCCAAAAAACAAAAAAAAAAAAACTAAAAATAGAAATATTTGAGTTAAGCTCAAATGTGGAAACTAAAAATACATATAGTGGGAAAAAATCTAGCTCCAATTGGATTCGTCTAGACCGAGTTATATAGACAAATCAAATATTTCCTAAAACAGCAAAATCATGAAATTAAAGGCTTAAATATTAGAATCTAACTGTAATCCATAGTAGGCCATGGCGAAGCGATGCGTACTAGTTGCCATGGCATTTTCCATGTCTCGACTGAATTTCACGTCATTCCAAGCACAAGTTGTTTTACCTCTACTAGTGTCTTTTGCCTTTGCCTTGTTTGTCCATGAATTTTAGAAATTTTATAGCCAAACACTCTGCATCACAAACTATGTCACACTAGAAGCCACATCACCTTATATTCAATCCATACCCTCAGTTGAACATGCTAACATTAAGTGAGCGCTAAATTAAAACAAATTCAACATTATACAAAGATTAATAAAATTGAATCACAGACAAAATGCATGCGGGCATTAAAAAATTAAGGCTTAGTTGACCTAGCTCACAATAATTACTCGAACCAAACTAACTTGTACAAACTTCAAACCAATGAAATTAGATAAAGAAGCTAGTACAATCACCTCTTAATTCTTTTTTTGATAGGCAATACAGACTTCAAAACTACTCTCAATTCTCTTTGTGACCAAACCATTAGAGTGCAAAAAATCAGAAGCTTACTATGAAAAAACCAAATAAGTATAGACGGTACAATGCAATTACCATGAAATAGCTGATAAGCTTCAAATGCTAAGAAAGGAAGTGTTTGGATTGCTCTGTTAGATTCTTAATTTTTAGTGTGTTCTTGATTTCTTCTTGTTGGCCTTTGACTTTGCATTTGAGTGGCTTTGATTAATGTTTCAATCCAGCTAGGGTATGATATTTAAGTTATGATACTTTTTGTCTTGGCTTTTTGTGTCTTCTTGATGTAATTTGTCTATACACCTTGTAATTCTATATTTGCATCAATGAATCTCTTTTTTGCTGACAAAAAAAAATGCTAAGAAATGGAAGGTCAATTTCGACAAGCCAAAAAAAAAATGAAACTGATTTGTACCTGAGAAGGGGGGGAAAATTACATGTGAATTAGATTATAGATTTATCTATAGAAAGACCAAATATTAAGAAATAACAAAGCCCTGACCAAATAATGTACATAAATAGGTTTTTTTTTCTTGTTTTTTGGGGTTGCATAGATAGATCAATTACAAGCTAGAGCACAAAGGAATAACTAACAACTCAACCTTAAATAAACATGATAATTTTGTTTTGCTTACCATGGTCTTCTCAGCTTCCCTACCAACTCAGTTGGGGAGTTCCACACTCATTGCCGAGCTATCTTCTTGATGTGATTGCACTTTTCCAGCAGAATCAAATAGAGACTTTTTATTCCTGAATTTAATGAAAAATTATTTAAAATTATCTTCAACCCTTTCATCAAATGTTAATCAAATCAAGGGTGTTTTTTTCAATCAAATTGAGAACTCATCAAACCTTTTATCAAATTCAAATTTGATGAAAATTTAAAAAGATGAAGCATTGGAAATAAATTTTTTTATAATTTTTTTTTTCTTGTCAAATTTGATGAATAGAAATATTTGGAATAAAAGATGAATTTTTAAAAAGATTTTTATGAAATGATTGTAATAGTTTATATGAAATCAAATTTTTTACTCAAATTTAAAATTAAATTAGCTGAGAAAATTAGTGAAATGTTGGAGATGCTCTCACTTGATACACATATATAAGAGCTTCTTCAATCCTTCACATTTTCTTACATAAAATTTGATGAAAATGTCCTAAAAAACTATCTCCAATGCTTTCATCAACTTGAAAACTCATCAAAATCTTTTACTATCAAATTAAAATTTGATGAAATTTTAACAAGTCGATAAACAATTGGAAACGATTTCTTTTTCTTTTTTTTTTCTCCATCAAATTTGATGGAAAGTGAAATTTGAGTTAAGAACAGAAATTTTTTAAAAAATTGATGAAAATTTGTTTAAAAAAAATTGAGTAATTCATATCAAATCAAGTTTTCTACTCAAATTCAGAATCAAATAATGACAAAACGGGGTGAAGGGTCAAAGAAAATAAGCATTTATCAGCAGAGAAGAGAAACCCAGAAACTTACATAAGTGCAGCATCGTAAAGAGTTGTGTTGTGACCAAGATAATAATCTTGAGAAGAGAGAACCCAAGCACAAAGAGACCCATTGCAATTGTCATGGGAATAGCATGATTTATCCACTACAAATTTGGAGCAATGTACAGTACTACTAAGCTCTTCATTCCAAACCAAACAGAACAATTTACCACTCAAATGAAATAAATAAATGTCTTTTTGGACCCGAATATCCTCCATCTTCCACCCTGCTGTCCCCAACCCTTTGAGCTTCCCGGACAATAAATTCCCAGTTTCCCACTCGTACGCATTCACGCTGCGGTAGTTCTTGTCGTACCAATACAGAGTATTCCCAAACACAGCCGTATCTTTATTATCAACACGAGATACAAATCGATGGTCGCATAGATCGACATGGTGCTTGGAAGTCCAAATGTTTTGAGAAATATCATACAAGTAGGCTTGTTTTGAAGAATTGTAAGGTGTCACCATAATCTTGTGTAAATCCTCAAGACCCAGACACATTACTAAATTTTCACCCGAAGGCAACAAATCATCAGGAGGCTTGGGAAGAAAACTCCATTTCTTAGTGTGAGGATCAAAGACCTCAGCCCAGCGATCAGTTTCAGTATCTTCAGCAGGGTTTCTGATAGAATTACCTCCCATCACATACAGCTTTCCATTAACAACCACTGTGGTTGGGCAAGTTCTTCTCACATTCATAGATACGATACTCTTCCATCGGGGAGAGGGAGAGCTAGCATCCAAACAGAGGACATCTTTAGTAGGACGATTGTTATAACATTTTGGGGCACGATAAAATCCACCGAGGCGATAGATGGTAGAATCTACGCAAACCAACGAGCTATCAGAGTCGCATTTCGTTCTGGAAATCGGAGAGAGTCTCAATTTCTTCGTCCAATCATTATCATTATCATTATCGTCGTCTCGGTTCGATATGTTGACAACGAACCACTTCGTGTTACGTTTGTGAGTGGAAGCGCGAAAACACAGACATTTCTCGTATCGTTCTGGCTGATAAGTTGGTGCCCATAGCGTCGATATCTGACGCTGCCGCAGTAGCCGACGCAGTCGGCGACGCCGACGACGACGCGCACCACGCGAAGGCAGAGAAAGGCCAAGCATGGTTTTTCCCAATTCTCTTCCACTATCTCCAATTTTTAGGGTTCCAAGTTTTCACTTTAATATTAGTATATTAATTAATGTATTAATTGATAATATAACATAATTTCAAAAGTTTTTGAGATTTGTAATATGATTAATTAGTGAGGTTAATAATAATACTATAACTAGTGTTAGTACACTAATTAGTGTATGTAGTACCACCGCACTTTGCTTCCGTATTAGAGATCAAAATAAGGGTAAGGTTATAAGTAAAGAGAAAATTATATAATTTTATGAGATAATTGTTGAAAAGTTTAATTTAAGCCAGGTATGAGATATTAGATTCAGTAAATATTTTTTGTTAGTAAATTTTTATTAGTTTTAAAGAACATGTTTTGAATTTTACTCATAATTTATGATTTTTTTCGTTGACTTTGTTTTGATTATCAGTTTAAATTTATATCTGTATGTTTAAATTTATATCTATTTGTTCAGATTATTTTTTATCTGTTCAATTTTTTTTCTATATCTGTGCAAAATCAGTGGGCTTCTCTCTCTATCTATTTAAAATCTGTGAAAATCAAATATTTTCTTATTTGTTGAAATTTTTAAACTTATTTTCTCTTATCTGTTGAGATCTTTTCTTATTTATTTAGATCTATTTTTTTTATTTGTTTAATTTGCAATATGTTGAAATTTGTTTTTTATCTGTTCAATTTGCATTTTTTTTTTTTTATGACGATATTGCTTAAGCAACTCTCACAGCAAACAAGATCACAATTTTTTTGTGTTAATGACAGAAACACAAAAATCACCATATTTTCAGCAAACAAGATCAATACATTCGTATATACATAAAATACATATAAAAACTGTAACAAAACAGAGATATGTCCCACCGAATCAGACGAAAGCGAAGCAACCGATCAAAATCAACAAACCAAAACAAAACTTCATATAGATCCTCCGATTACCTTTCTTCATCAGACTTCAATTCTTGAAATTGTCATCAACAATGTTAAAGAAGTTGAGAGAAAGAGAGTCCCTGTGAAAATATATTATATAAAATCAATGTACATGGTCTCATTTACATAGGAGAAAACATAGCTATCTAAACATGCATATCTATCTATATGATATACATTAACAGCTACACATAGCTATCTAAACATACATATATATCTATATAGATATACATTAACAGCCCTCTTCAAACTCAAGGAGAATAAACATCAACCAACTTGAGTTTGAAAACAAGTTCAATGAAGTGGCCAGGAGGATAAGCTTTGGTGAAGATATAGTAGGTTGATCAGCAGAAGAGATAGGATGGAGATGAACAATATCATGAGTGACATGTTGACAAATAACATGGCAGTCAATCTCAATGTGCTTGGTGCAATCATGAAAAACAACATTGTAAGCAATTTGAATAGCACTATGATTGTCACAATAGAGGTCAGTAGCACCAGAGGGGGTAACATCTATGTCAACAAGAAGCCAAAGAAGCTCCTAAGTAATATCAGCAAGAGCACAGTATTTGGCTTCTGTACTTGAACGAACAGTAAGAGATTGTTTCTTGTTGCGCCAAGAAATAAGAGAATCGCCTAAGAAGAAGCAAAATCCTGTAGTAGAGCAACAGTCAGCAGGATCCCTAACTCAATCAGCATTGGAGAAGGCACAAAGTTGAAACAAGGAGTGGACGAAATAATGAAGACCATGAAACAACGTGCCTTTGAGATAGCGAAGGATACGAACTAAAGCATCATAATGAGGTGTACGAGGAGTCGACATATACTCGCTGACAATATGGACAGCATAGGCAATGTTAGGACGAGTAACAGTGAAATAGACAAGGCTACCAACCAACTGACGATACAGAGTAGCATCAAAGCGTAGAGTGCCAACAAGAGGAGTAAGACGACTCTAAGTCTCCAGTTGAGTGAAGGCAGTCTTGCAATCTGTAAGACTAGCACGAGCGAAAAGATCGGAGGTATACTTAGCCTGAGAGAGAAACGAACCCGTGGAATCATAAGAGATTACAAGACCCAAGAAATAGCTAAGAGAACCAAGGTCTTTCATCTCGAAATGATGGCTAAGAAACTATTTGAGGCGAAGAATACAATCCACATCATCACCAGTGATAATCATGTCATCTACATAAAGCAGAAGTAGGGTGGTCCCTTAAGTAGTTTTCCTCACAAAAAGAGAGCAGTATCATAAGAACTGGAGGTGAAACCATAATCATGAATAGTAGAGCTGAACTTGGCAAACCAAGCTCGCAGGGATTACTTAAGACCATATAATGCACATTGAAGTTTGCATACCTTACGAGACGGATAAGTAAACCTAGGGGGAGGTTGCATGTAGACCTTTTCTAGAAGATCACCATTAAGGAATGCATTTTTCACGTCCATTTAATAAAGGTCCCATTGACGGGTGGCAGCAACAGTAATCAAGCGGTGAACAGAGGTAAGATGGGTAACAGGAGCAAAGGTCTCCTCATAATCAATACCATATTCCTGGTTGAAGCCTTTAGCAACAAGGCGGGCTTTGTATCTCTTAATAGAGCCATCAGAGTGTGTCTTGGTTTTGTACACCCATTTGCAGCTAATGGCAGTCTTGTCAGAGGGAAGATCAACAACATCCCAAGTATGAGTTTTGTCTAAAGCCTGCAATTCATCAGTCATAGCATGCTACCAAAGAGGATTAGAGCAAGCCTCACAATAGGATGTAGGTTCATGAGTAGAAAAAATAGTGGAACCAACAATATAATCATGAAAATGAGTAGAAGGTTGTGTTAGTCGGTGTGAGCGAGCGGAGGGTGGAGAAGCCAAAGGGCATGAGAGAGACTCAACATGACGTGAAGATCCCGAGGGAGCAAGAGCAGAACAAGCAGAGCGAGCATGCTCACGTGAAAAACTAGTAGGCAAGGATGTCTCTAAAGGGGCAGGCAGGGGCCCTGTATCAATCTCATCAAAAAACAGATCTATGGAAGGGTTAGTAAAAAATAGAAAAAGGAAATAAATGGATAAGCGGAATTGGGAGAGGGAGGAAAACATTTTGTTTTTCCGAAAAAACCACATGATGAGAGATACGGAGGCGTTGGGAGATAGGATCCCAACAACAATACCCTTTATGTTCAATACCATACCCCAAGAAGTAACAAAGACGTGAACGAGGTTCAAGTTTGTTGTGTTCATGAGGTTGGAGAAGAACAAAACATGCAAAACCAAAGACCCTAAGATTGATGTAAGAGGGATGAGTGCCATATAAACGCTCATAGGGAGTGTGATTATGAATGACAGGCATAAGAATACAATTGATAGTTTAAGCAGCAGCGAGAACGGCTTCGCCCCAAAAAAATTTAGGACAAGAAGAAGAGAGAAAAAGAGCTCGAGTAGTGTCGAGAATATGCCTATGTTTCTATTCAGCACGTCCATTTTGTTGAGATGTGCTGGGACAGGAACAATAAGGCTGAGTAACATGACTCTGAAGAAAATAAAGAAAATCAAAATCTTTATATTCTATTGCATTGTCGAAGCGAAAAAAGCTTAATAGTTTTAGAAATTTGGGTTTGGACCATTTTAGCAAAATTGTAATAAAGTTGTTTGAGCTCAGAGCGATTTTTCATAAGAAACAACCATGTAAAATCGAAAAAATCATCTATAAAAGCAACAAAATAGCGTGCACCTCCCATAATAGGAGTAGGGGAGGGGCCCCAAATATAAGAATGGATGAGATCAAAAGGTGCAAGAGAAATAGAGTCACTTTTATTAAATGATAAAGCAGGTTGTTTGGCAAGTTGACATGACAAACAATCTAAAGTATCAGAACTAATAGAACCTAATTGACTACTAGAAATTAAAGACTTTAACCGACCAACAGAAAAATGTCCTAAACGATAGTGCCAAAGCTGAAAAGGAGATAAAAGATGAGTAGTAGTAGGAGCTGCAAGCTGAGAAGAAACAAAAACATGAAGGTGAATGAGTTCATAGAGACGTCCATGCTTACAGCCGATCCCAAGAGTCCGTCCCGTCCGAGGGTCTTGCACCAAACAACCAGTAGGGGAAAAGGTAACAGTTAGACTATGGTCATTCAATTAACCAATGGAGATAAGATTTAAGGTAAGAACAGTCATAAGATACACATGGGATAAAGATAAGTGAGATGTGGAAACAAAACCAACATGACTTACAGACAAAAAAGACCCTGTCAACAGTATGAATAGAAGAAACATGAGGATGAGAAGATAGAGAAGTAAAAATAGTAAGGTCGGAGGTCATGTGATTACAACAACTTGAGTTAAAGTACCAGGAAGTGTTACTTGAGGTGACAGCAAAGCAATAGAATGAGGAGTACCAGAAATGGGAGATGTTAGAACATGGCTTTGATATCAGTTTGAGAAAAGACTAGAGTAGAAGGGTCTGTAGGCATATAAGAAGATAAATCCTTTTATTCACCCAAATAAAAAAAGATAAATCCTTTGAGGTAGCAGCAGCAGCGCGATGAACATGCATAGACTTAAACTGATTCTTAGAACGTTGAGAGTTTCCTTGTGAAAAACTCCCAGTGGAAGGACCATGACGAGAAGATAAACCAAGAGAGGCTCATACTGGATTGCGGAACCAATCTTGCTGTAGATGACCAGGACCAGTCTTGTTGCAAATTTGGCAAAGTCGAACAAGACAATGAACTAGAAGATGAGTAGATGGAAGACCTCAGTTTAGATAGTAATTGCAAGCAGTGGACCGCTGTTGTGAAGGGGAACTCCGAGTCTGGGAATAGCAAGAACAGAGTTCACAAGGTGTGGATGGAGAGTACCAAGCCTAGTTTCCTCTGATAGTAGTTCGAAAATAGCTTGCTCAAGAGTGGGTAAAGGAGTGTGATGAATGAGAGATGCGCGCACCGGCTCAAAATAGGGGGTTAGAGCCATAAGAAACTGAACCAATCATTACTGGTCGCGATAAGTAATAAACAGGGCAGCATCCTCAATAAGGGACCATGGAGGTTCAGAGAGAACGAGCTGATCCCAAACAGAATAAATTTGGGAGAGGAAATCATTAATAGTCCGAGTTGG